TCTTTGTTGTATTATGTTGTTTCTTGAAATGATTCAAGAGAAAAATTTTGTCGATTAACGGGAAAATCTTTAGAAAAAAACTAGTATCTTCTGTAAAACACCTAAAATTTAGTAAATAATAGTGAAACAATATGTTGTTTTGTCAGTCAAAGTAAAATAATCTACAATATTTGTCATTTGAAATAAATAAAAAAAATAAAAAATTGCAAAATTACTATTTTTAAAGAAAACTTAACAAAAAATTTAACAAAATTTAGTAGCTAAAAAGATAATATAGCAATTCCAATATTCTAACATAGAATAATAATTAATTAACCTTCTTGCATTGTAAGACCAATGAGGTTCTATACTGAATTATTTTTGTAAAATGTTGGTTTTTTCAGTATTTTTTTTTGTATTCTATAAAAATCTGATGAGTTTAATTTCTTAAATATTGGCAAAAAATATTCCAATCAAATGACACACTACTCAAAACTATATCAACCTTATTAATATTGACTTCCCATACAACTATTTTTCGTGTAATTGCAGTTATAGCTAGTTAAAAAAAAGAAATAGATAATTTAGAACACAGTTCAGTGTATTTATTCAAAGACACCGAATTTTGACTCTAGCCCAAAAAACAAAATATCTACCTACTAAATAGGTTACGAAGAGTATCATGGAAGGAACACAAGAATAAAATAGCTTGTGTTGTCCAATCATTCATATTTCAATTTACCTACTTCACTGAATAATTCTCCACCGTAAAGTTCAAAGGTTAATTGCTATAAACTTGATGTTGAAAATAAAGCATATGAAATTCAAACTAGCTACAAGCCGATTTGCCTCCACACAATTAAACTAGTTAGTAGTTTTGACTGTAATAAATAAATGTATGCAATTAGTAACTGGAAGATTGTATTCTCGCTTTAGAATCAACTGAAGTGTAAATTATAAAGTAACATGGTAAAATGTCAATAATTTGTAGATTTACTTTGATAAAATCGCCCATTTTTATGTTAACATAAAGTACATACAGGGTGATTTATATTAAGGGGAAAGAAACTAAGGATCTGGTTCAGAATCCACTTTTAAGCAATACAGACGGAATACGAAAATTGAATTACTTTAAAGATTCTGTTTCATCAAGGAATATGTTTGAATAGTCACCGCTAGCCGCGATATCGAACCAATGAATTAGTAACCCTAGCAAGATCTTGATTATTTTGAATTTGGCGTTCAGAATTTATAATTCTGTTTTGCAATTATTCCTCATTGATTATTTCTTGTAAATAAACTATTTCTTTTATATGACCCCGAAGTAGTAATCCAGTGGAGTAAGATCTGGCACTCTAGCAGGCCACTCAATCGGGTCCCGCCCATTAGAGCCACCTTCGATTAAAATCTCTTGTAGCATGTGTAGAAGCCCCATCGTGTTGATACCACATCATGTTATGCAGTGCAAGTTGTAGTTGAGAGGCGACATTTAAATGATATGGGAAAATTTGTATTGGTAGTAGACTACTTTGAAAATGTCACACCATGTGCTAATAGAAAATCTCTGTTGAAAATTGTGCCTCCCAAACGCGTGAGGATTTAGTATTGACCAAAACGAAAATTTTCCTTTTTCAGAAGATTCTTCAGCGTTTTGCTGAAAATTGAAGGTTGATGGAGCAATTCTGTCTCCGGATTCGTGTTCAGCGGGCGAAAATACATTGGAAATCATATGTACATTTCAGACAACTTTTTTTTTGTGTGGTGGTGTTATCCAGATTTTATAAATGTTACTAAATGTAATAACAGTAGAATTACTATAAATATTCATTCATAATAATTAATAAAATGTAATGTTCATGAAATATTTCTATTTATTTGTTCATAAAATATGCATTTATAACTGGAAATCGCTTTTTTCCCTAGGGAGGTAAGTTACCTCACTTACCTACCTCCCATTCTCCATAGCAACTTCCACTTCTACGGTTAAATCCACTTATCTCCTTAAAAACAATGTACTAATAGTCTATTTACTATAGCGGATGCAGATAAAATAATATCTCCATACACTGCGTTACTGAATGCGAGATTAGTCAAAAACAAAATAATATATTTTCTTTTTGTATAATCTTTGCATTGATGTAATATAAATGACTTTGTTTACATGGCCTACTGTTACTTTATGTAAAATTTGAAAGTTATCTTTGAAAGCTGGTGAACCTTATCGAATAGAAAAAATTTCGTCGTATTTCATCTCTTTTGAATGCTGAACCAGATCCTTAAGTTTTCGCCCCTTGGTATAAATCACCCCGTATATTTTTAAACATTTGTTTAGCAACTTTTTTCAGAATTAAAATATTAATGTCGTATAAATATAGTGTTTATAAAATTACAGCGTACGTTACTCAATGGTATAAGGGGGTGTCTTCTTTCATATTGAGTTGAGAATCAACAGGTGTCTATATCCTAACGTCTGATAAAATTAAAATTTATGAAACGCGAATTACTTTTAGTGATGTATTGGAAAATGTGGCGTGTACATCATTCACTCGACGTCGACGTCGAGGAAAATACCTTTTCCAGAAACTTAAAATGATCGGAAAGCGGGAATTAAAAGCAAGGCGTAATGGGATAGCGAGTATCTGAATTTTCCCTAATATCTTCCATTATGAAAACGCGCCTCCACCAAAAGGGTGAAAATAGTACGCGCTAAGGAGATACTATATAGTCATGTAAAACGGTACATTAGTTTCGCATTGTTTTTAGATGCATTTAAAAATTTAAAAACGTACAGGAGTTTTTGGTACGTGTCGCCTATTTAACGATTACAAATATTGTACTACGAGTAGATACAGTTGTAATTATATTTATACATGGTGATCCATTAATGGTACGGAGCGGCTGTATATAGGAAACTACACTAGGTACAGAAATTAAGGGATATTAAAAATATACAAAAATTTGGGTGATTTTCAAAGCACTGTAATTTGGAGGAAAATGGTCGGAGAGAGAATAAAAAAAGGAAATTGAACCTTCAAGTGTCTAGTTTTTGAATTAAAAAAAATTGCACATTTTTGCTTTCCTTTAAAAACGCCTATGGACTTAAAATTTTTTTGGTAAGTTCCAGAAAATTGTCGTTTTTTCGAAATTTCGTTTATATAACCTAAGTTGAAAATACACTTTTTAGATACACTGTTAAACCTTTCATAAGTTTTGTTTGAGCTTTTTTTTAAATTGTCAACTTCTAAATGCCTTAATCGATTTCAAGAAACTAGGGCTCATTTTAAAGAACTATTAATAAAATGAAGCACCATAAAAATACTGGGCGGATGATTTAATCTTCAATTTCATTGTCAGAGTTTCTTCTGAAGAAGAGAGCGATCTGTTTCTTGAAACATCATGAATGATAAATACAACGATATAGCAGTCAAACTTTTGAAAAAAATTAAAGGGTCACGTTTTTTGAGCTTAAACACTCCATAATCATGATTAAATTGGGATAAAAATGAACATTTTTTTTCAGAGAAGAAAGAGGGTGGTTTTGAAAAAACTGTTTTTAAGTGATTACAGACTGCACAAAAATTAATTAGAAATTTACCTCAAAAAAACGGTATAAATCGGGGTCGAAATCTGGTTTGGGTCAACTTTAATTTTAATTTAATTAAAAGTTTATAAACAGAATCATAGAACGAAAAAGCCGAATCGTGCTGGAAACAATTGGATTTTGTTTTCTGGTATGTCCGAAAAGTTTTTCAAAAAATAATAAAAATGTGAGAAAACCTCAAAAAAATTTGTTTTGCCACTTTAATCACGATTATGAAGTGTTTAATCTCAAAAAACGTAACCCTTTAATTTTTTTAAAACTTTGACAGTTTGATACAAAGAAAAGGTTAGCTAGATCGAAATAAAACTTCACAGAGTTCTTCTGCTTATATCGAACTGTAAAAGTCATGCTTAACATTAGTCATGTCGTGAATATTTCTAATTTAGCCGTAAATTTTCTACAAAACCATAAATTTTCTGTTTTTTTTTTTCAAATTCGTGTAAAAGATGAAAAAAAAAAAATCCGAAAAGTTGCGGCATCATGTTATAGGAAATTTATTCCCGTTTTCCAAACTGTCCTCCAATTCTCTGTACGACCATTTGTCGCCGAGATATGGATGATTGAAGATAAAAGGATCCTTTTCCATTAAAAGTCCGATATTTCGATGAGAAATGGTCATATCGAAATCTAAAAAAAAGGAAATTGAAACTGAATAAATAAGCTATCTGGTCCATGCAATGGCTTAGCTGAAAAACATTTTTCCAAGTCCGTGGACTTGAATTTGCAAACTTTTTTTGTCGCGCTATTTCTTAGAATTGCATGATAACTGTAGGTCCTAAAAAAATTTCGACCGAAAGATCTAAAAACTAGAATCTAAGAGCTTCAAAACGCTTTTTTTAATTCCCGATACGACCATTTTTCACCTAAAGACAGTCTATCAAAAATCACGAAACATTTCCGGAAATTCTTTTGGCGCTTTAATTGTTTGTATTGTATTTGCAATCACGTTTAATCTTATGGTAGCAAATAGCTTCAAATTTGATTATTTTACCTTTTATTCTGTTTTTTGTTTTAGATAGTAATTAGTTTATCTTTTCTTTATCTTTTCTGTAAAAAGTTTTCAAAAATAATTTATCAAACTTCAGTAATAACAGAGGTCCTTATTTGAGCAGTAAATAAAACAGTTCCGTCATTATAACCAACGTCTACCACACAGCTTAAAACAAATAAAGCATTTTTAAAATATTATGGAAATTGTGTTTCCCAATTCCAATTAGAATTTTAGATTTGTTAGTTTGTGACTATTGATTGCAACTCAGATCGTGATCCTAAATATTAAGATAAACATCCTATACTTTCACAGAACATTTATGTTACTTATAAAAAGTGTTCACTGAATGCAATTCTATATCTTGCACGTCCATTACGGCATCCGAGACCTATTTAATCGCTTATTTGAACGAATAAAAGTCAGACCTACCGTGGGCGGCGAGAGATTTACTGTCGAACCCCTTCTCTCTTGAGGTCCTATACTGGAATGTCTGCGGATCGGCAGGCCGCCTCCTGGTGTCCCTCCGGGCGAAGATGCACACGACGGGGCTATGCGGATTTTGGGGGTCATTAGCGTGTTGTCGGACAGTCTTCTGTTCGGGAACGCGTTTACGACTCTCAAGAAGTTACTGTCGGGCGACGAGGGAGATCCGCCGAACCACCAACCACCCAACATACCTCCTGGAAGAGTGAATTAACAGATACTTGTTTTGTTGCACTTAGTAGTGATGGTATTACAGGAAACAACTAATCTACGGGTTATAAGCTTCGATTATTATCATTGGATTACATCGCCAATATCATTAAATAAAGTTTGCATCATTCGTCGGCCGAATACACCAGACATATACCGGTATCGCAGGCGAAGTACGATATTAGAGGAAGTATAGACCCTAGAATTTCGGAAAAAAATTGTGTTCAATAAATCGAGCAAGAGAAATGGCTGAAAATAGTTTTCAGGTTTGTAGCTCGGTCGCTAGGGGGCGCAATCTACATACCAAAACATAGAGTTGAATTTTTCTCAGAAATGTTTCCTATTGAGGTATATTAAATAGTACAAATATGGACAGCCGGATTCATTGAGCATAACTTTTGTTATTGACATTTTGTTCTATCTCTCGACAGAAAGAGTGGGGGAAGCTCCTAATTATTATTATGAGAACTATTTTAGATAAAGTGAAAAAAATTACATATACAAAATGATTTCAATCTAATTATATGTTATTAAATTGATGAAAAATGTTCTCCATATAAATATTTTATACCTCAGAAATATAAAACTTACAAGAAAATACAACTAAACCAATTTTCTTTTGTGGTAAATAATTGAATAATATATAAGTTTTATTGATTGTGCATAGCCTATAATAATTTCCAAACAGCATGGTGTTCTCTTCTATTGTCGGTACAGCTGAGACAAATATTTCAGAAGACACTTTATTATTATTTAAAACTTAATTTAGTCTCAAATGTAAAACATCTGGCGCTCCGGCAGAAAATTTGCTCTCTATTTTCCTTCGATGCAGAAAATAATACGCTCTGGGATCCTTGTTTCCATATTATTCATCGTCTTTCCAGAGACATGACAATCAAACATTCAAATTAAAAAGTCATCACCACTGAATATCTACATTTGACAATATTATTTTCTGTACATCCCTTTAAAATTGTTTACTTTCACGGTTTTTAATTACCTATCTGTTACAAATTCGTTATGCAATATTTGGAAAGTTGGTTACTTCATAGTATGATTATAAATTTTGCGAAATGGTCGCAGCAAAAGTAATACAAACGCTACTGCTGAATGTCATTCTGGTTTTCTGGAATGATCTTCATGATCAGAATTGTGGTTGTGCCAGATATCAATATCAAATCCTTTGCTCTTTTCTCAAGGACGGAAAAAAGTCTCCGTGGGTTAGTTCTGATTTAATATAGATATTTGTCTATGAACTGAAAGTTCTCACAAAGAGCCGTTTGACTAGATGCATTGTTGTGATGTAAGATTCTAGAGTTATGGACAAAAGTGAACCTTTTTCGTACTTCTAAATACTAAAGCTGGAGGTTCAAATAGCAAACTTATAAGTATTGAAATTGAGGCTTAGTAAAATTAACTGCCAGTTTCACCCCCTTATTCTTCGTATGAGGCTTTAAAGAAAAATTTCTTCTGTAGACCTTCCAGTGTATTTTCATCATAAAGACAATTTTTCCGTGCTTATTTTGTGTAGTAATACCAGAACTTTGTTTTCTTTTCTTGAGGATATCTCAAGTGTTGTTTTATTTTAGTGTCTTCAGCCTTAAGGGACATTCAAAATCCAAATTATTTTCAGTGAGGCAAATGGTAACATCAATATCTTCATAAGTTATCAACTGTAGCAAATGTGCACCTACATTCCAAAAAAACATTAGTAGTAGTTCCCGTGTAATGTTTTCCATCAGCTTTTTTCGTAGTGGAGCGATAATCCTTTAAATTCTCTTCTTTTTATTTTATTTTAAAATTTTCTTTCTTTACAGAAACATTATGCTCGGAAATTTCTGGTAATTTGAGTACACGTTTTTCTATATGTATCAGCGGAATTTGAGAAACTAGGTTCTTTTGATAACTTTTATAACGCAAGATCAAAGAATGCAAATGAAACCACCCATAAATAGTACAAGCGATAGAGCAGTAAAAGTAGGCTTTGGCGTTTGTGTTTGAAGTCATGTGTACAGAAAAATCCCAAATATTATGTATAATAAGAATCCGAGTTTGCCTATTCCAAAAAATCATTGCTAAATTCAGGGGAATAACAAACATACAAAAAGATCGAAAAATGACCCGTTTTTCTATTTATTTTTTCCTGTAACATTGAAAGTAAGCCCTAAATAAAAGAAGTTATTCTTTATTTTTCGTTTTTTTTTATGACTATTTTCTATAAAGTACAAGTGAATTAACAGTGAGCGAAAAATAGTAAAAAATCATAAATATGTATATTTGGAGCAATTTTTAAAATAAGTAAATATTTATAAATATTGATGAAACTTTATGAATAAACATATGTCAATTCTACCAAAAAATTTTGCAACCATCGATCCCGTGATTTTGACAGGATTGTTAATTAAGAAAATTTCAAAAAGTTTATCGCGTACTGCGGGTTTAAATTAAGGTTTAGAAAGGACACATACTTTTTTAGAGATATTTGTTATAATAAACTATGACCAATACTAAAAATACCTATTTTTACACTTTATAACCATTTAATTTTTTTTTTTTTTTTAATTTATCAACATTTTACTATATGAACATTTATTTTTCGCCGAGAGAATTTTATGCAATCGACAATCGAATGCAAAAAAATATTCATATTCCTCTCATTTTGCTATATCAAATCAAAAAATCGTCTTAATAAGTGTTACCGTTATTATTTGATGTAAAATAATTTTTATGTTATATGCCGTTAAAAAACGTAGGTCGATATAAAAATTATTAATTTTGTAAATTTGAAAAGCTTTTATATGATTTTTTTTTCACAAGTACATAAGTAAAAAATTTTCAAAATCCAAAAAATTATTAGTAAAAAATCAATAATAAAATCTGCATTCGAATATTTTTTAAAAAATTTGGAATTATTTTTATTTTAAAATTAAAATTACCGCTTTGAGATCTTCTCTGTCTCTTCTTTCTTTTCGGCGTGTAAATTTTTATGTGGTTTTATTCATGTTTATAACCGACAATCTTAAAGTTGTTTTTGTAACAAATGAACTTTTAAATTATTTTTACTAATTTTAAACATATATGCCAATGGCTTCATTACAATTTTTGCATAAATAAATTGTTCAAACAATTGTAACAGAAGTTGCAAATATGCAGGTACTGTTACTTCAAAACATATATACAGTGCTTTCGAAAAGTAGCGAATAAATTCATTATTTTTTAAATTGAGAAGTTTCTTGAAATTAGGATAAAACTCATTTTGGACTTACAGTTTCGGAGAATTGTTCCAACGAATATGTACTACGGCATTGCCATTTTCATTCTTTATGTTATATTTCTGATGAAAATTTGTAAATGCCGTATAGTTATTAATGACCTAAAAATATAGTAAAAATTGAATGAGAAATATTATCAGCTATGTAAAATTCACTAGTTAAAAATGTACAACATTGTTTATTTATTTTTTTTTTACTTATGAAAAGTCAATTACAATCATAATATTTTGAATATAACATTTTTAGTTTATAACAAGGAATTTTCAAAATATTGTAAATTTTCACAATTTATATATTTGTTTTTAATTCAAATTTTTTATTTGTACCATTATTTATAACCGGCCATGATTTAGTACGATAGTTTTTGGTTATATTTTATCAAAAAAGTGGTTGCCGTACAGGAATTAATGATCTTATAAAAAAATAAAGCTCAATTCCAAAATACAAGTAATTGTTTATAAACTTTTGCATTAACCAGAATTTTCAGACGGCATAGTTGCTAAGAATTATTTGGAGAGTTAAATACAGGGTGTTAAAAAAAAAGAGTGTAAAATATTTAAGGAGGTAATTGTATGAACCAAAATAAGCAGAAAAGTCACAATAAACATGGGCCCGCAAAGTAACGGTTGCGGAGATATGGAGATATGGAATGTTTTATGTTTTTTAGCCCCTTTTTTTATTTTGCAAAAACGTTGTGTATTTTCTTATAATAGTTGGTTGATATTTAGTGAAATAAACAGTACGTATTTGGCAGTTGTTCTCAGTGCACAAGTTTTCTTACGCTATGGCTGGTTACTCTAACCCAGAATTAACAGACATGCATTTCATGGATGGTTGTGCTAATAGGAACGCCACCGAAGCGCGACGTCTTTATGTTGACGCTTATCCAAATCGCCAGATTCCATCACAACGCATGTTTGGAAGAATTCACCAAAAATTGCGTGATACCGGTTTCTTGAGCAAACAGTGTCATTTATCCGGAAGACCAAGGGCGGTATCCACTCCTAGAGTAGAAGAAGAAATTCTAGAACTGGTAGAGCAGAATCCAGGTACGAGTGTGCGGAGAATATCAGCCGAGGTAAGAATTAGTGGTCCTCTTGTTTGGAGAATCCTTCACGAGCAACTGCTTTATCCATACCATGTGCAACGAGTACAGGCCTTAAATCCAATAAATGATCATCAAGCAAGTTTGTTTTTTTGCCGCTGGTTTCTACGTCATGATGCTGAAGACCCTCGTTTTCTTGCAAACATTCTTTTTACTGATGAGGCCGGGTTCACAAGAAATGGAGTGTTTAATTTTCACAATACGCATATTTGGGCCGACGAAAATCCTCATGCTCTAATAGAATCTGGACATCATGCACGTTTTTCATTAAACATTTGGATGGGTATTGTAGGTGACAGGTTTCTAGGTCCTGTTGTTTTACCAAACCGATTAACAGGCGCTGCTTACCTCAACTTTCTGCAGAACACACTGTATGAGTTTTTGGAAGACATTCCTTTGAATCAGAGGCAACAAATGTGGTTCCAGCATGATGGTGCTCCAGCTCATTTTTCCATGGCCGTTAGAGAGCATTTACACCAAACTTTTCCACATAGATGGGTAGGAAGGGCCGGACCTGTTTTATGGGCTCCAAGATCGCCTGATCTGAACCCTCTAGAAATCTTTGTTTGGGGATATTTGAAGACATTAGTGTATGGTACTCCTGTAAATAGCCTGGAAGAGCTGCAGCTACGGATTAATCAAAAGTGTCAAGAAATCCAAACCAAGGAGGGTGTTTTCGAAAGAGTTCGAATATCGTTGAGACGAAGATGTCGTGCCTGCTTGGAAATGGACTAAGGGCACTTTGAACATCTTCTTTAACTTTGTTTTTTGATTGTTAAAAGCTTCCTTTGTCGGTTTATTCCTATTAAAATAAAATGTTTGAAAAACGAATAGTGGTCCATATCTCCGCAACCGTTACTTTGCGGACCCATGTTTATTAAGACTTTTCTGCTTATTTTGGTTCATACTATTAACTCCTGAAATATTTTATACTATATTTTTAACACCCTGTATAATCATGTGGAATTCTAACCCCTGTATCAGCAGATACGTACGCCGTCACTAAAAAAGTTATCTACGTATCAACCCGAAACTTGTAGTATAAATGCCGTACTATGGAATACACTATTTTTTACGCCAGCAGCCTAATTTTATGATGGAATCTAGGATCCAAGAATTTTTGCAAGATGTTCTTGTAGGTCATTTGAAAGTCATAGTTTTGCTTGAAGCATTTTTCTTCATATTTCGATCTGTTAAGTTAATCGCTACATAAGAAATAAAGTTTATTGGTTTCTCGATATCCTACAACTTTTATCTGAAACTCTATTTGACCGGACTCAATGCTGAAAAGTTATCAGAATGTTCGTATTTTTTAGGGACACCCTGTATAATTTCAGTTATTTATTTTTAATGGACTCTCGTAATATTTACGGTGATAGAAATCCGTAACCGAACGGTTTGCAACGAAGATAAACATTGGACTTAAAAACTAAAAATCAGTTTAGTGCAATCGAATACCTTGTTTGGAGAGATAACGAGTCACGTACCTGTAGAGTTCTTTCTAGCCATATCCTCTGCACTCGAAGTCTTCCTCTGTTCGATCCGTAAATTGGGAATATTGAATGGCGGGACGTGCATGTTATCCGAGCTATATTGATGCCTCAGGGGCCTGTGTCTTTCGGGACTGGGAAGCGAGAGGTTGTCCAACTTCAGCTTGTTCCTCTGATTCCGGTCAATCTGGTCCAGCATCTCTTGCAAGACTTCTATGAGTATCGTAAACTGTTCCAAATTAAGCGAGGGATTCACAGTCTGCGGTAGGAGAGAAGGCATCACTTTGGTGGCCATTAAATTAACAGATAGTCCGTATTTTTTGTCGCTGAGCATCAGTCGGTATATATCTGAGGAAAGGAAATATCGAATTTAGACATGAAAGCGTCTCGGTGAAATAATATGTTCTGTTCAAGGCGTTCGAAGCTGTAACACTTACATGCATATCGCACTGAAATAAATTGAATTTTACGCCTGAAATTGGAAAGTACATCCCGAATGACCTTCTTCGGAAACAAGTTGACAACTCGCGATATACTAAAATTAAGTACATTGCCAGAAATGTCTGTAAAACATGGTATTTCAATACTATTCGTTTAATGTGAGTGCTAATGAATTTTTTTCTTCAAACTGATTTAAATCTCTTGAAAAGAAATCTCCGAGTATCTCCATTTTATATTTGCGAGAATTAAATCATTACAATTTAAATATTGTATAAGCGTATAACGAATACCAGGTATTCTAAATAGTGACACTTACATAAACTGGATTTTATGATGGAACTTAGCAATTCTGATATAGATATTAAATTGCCTACATTGCCAGAAAGTGAGTAAAATAAAATTACTTTCCGGTGTAGAATAACAAAATAGTAACGCATTATATCCGGTAACTTCGGACAAATTCCGATTAAAAATTGACGAAGTAGCTTATACAGGGTGGTCCGAATTTAATGCAGGAAACTTCGAGGGCAGATAGATTACAAGCTGTTGTAACGAATTTATATATTAATGCATAAAAAACATCTTTTTGGATTCAAACAATATTTGGGAAATCACGACAAAGGAACGAAAGGCACAGAAATGAAATTTTAAAAGCATTTGACGACGATCCTCGGCTAAGTACACGAAGAACGTCTCGGCAACTTGGGGTGATTAAATCGAAAATTTGAAAAGTTCTACGTAATGATGGCAGAAATCTGTACCATTTACAACCTCTGCAAAATTTACTTCCGGGAGATGCAGAGATGCCTGAATTTTTTTCAGTGGTTGTTTGTATTCTTACTAGAAATACTTTGAATCGATGAGGCTACGTTCACAAGGCGAGGGGTAGTGAATTTTCACAATATGGATATTTGGCCACAAGAAAATACTCATGAAATTCGGAGTCATTTCTAAACTTTCTAGAAAACCATCTATTTGAATTATTAGAGGATGTTCCATTAAATATACAAAATAACTGGATACAAATGGATGGCGCTCCTGCGCGTTTTAGGAGAATAATACAAGAATGGCTTGATGAAAATTATATGGATGATGGATAGGTAGAAGACCAAATGCCAATGTCAACCATAATGGTGCAGAGGGTCCAGTGTCTTGGGCAGCCAGATCGCCAGATCTAAACTCCCTGGACTTCTATGTTTGGGGTGACCTACCTGAAAAGTTTACTCTACTCCAATAGGTACTAAACCACAACTACTGCAGCGAATAGAAGACGGATGTAATGAATTAAAAGAAAACCACACATGATATTAGCTTCAGTTAGTTCCATTAATAGATGTCGGAAATGTATCGATGTGGGTGGTTCGCATTTTAAACAATTGCTGTAAGTACCTAACGTTAATTTTGTTTCTTGTATAGTTGTTGTTGCTTGGTAAATGTATTTTTATTATTATTTTGATTTAAATTGTTCTTATTTGTAAAGATAATGCCTGCAGGGAAAACTAAAACACACCAGGAACACTACTTCACAAGTGATGTGGAAAAATTTTTGTTGATGTGCTTACAAATTGCACTTACTTTTAAGCATAAACATAAATATTTTTGTAATATTATATGAAGTGTCTGCCACAAGGGGATTGTATTTGTATGAATAACTTGAAAATGGTGAACCTTAGGGAAAAAATTCAAGTCACCAATTTTACATATTTAGTGCATTAGAATATAAATCCGTTACAATAACTTGTAAAAAATACAGTGGCGTAGGTTTTTCTTATAAAAAGGGGGTGACCCCTATCCAGGTGTACACCACTGGTTAAACCTTTGGAGCTCATATTTTAGGGAATGCAATGCCTACTATCGTACATTATTTGAACCAAATTTTATTGAGATCGGTTAACAGATTCCTGAAATAAACAAAAAAATATATTTTTTAACAACTTCAACACCCTGTATCTCTAAAACGATTCCGTTCCAGACCTATGTTTATAACGCAAACTCCTATTATTTTAAAGAGATCTATCTGTCCTTAAAGATTCCTGCATAGAATTCGGACCACCCTGTATACCTACTGGTTAATGTTTGGTAGTGACAGTTGGTCAAATATTTCAGTTTGTTCATAAATTCCAGAAACGTTTGTATACAAAAATCAATAAAATGTTACTTATGTAGTAAGTGAAGATTGAAGTTACGGGTAGAAGATTCAGATTTCATTGAGAAATTTTTTTTATAATATGCTTTTTGTTTTCTTTTGCATAGGTGCAATTATACAGGCCGACAAAATGTGGCTGAATCTCCAAACAAGCAACCAGACTATACTTTCCCAAAGGTCTTTGGTGCGCCTTAAAAGATATTCCAAACGAATTTTCCGAAAAGCATGTGATTTTTTTACTATGTTTCTGGTCATGTTACACACCAAGAGGTAATTTTTCTCCACAAAACTTATGAAAGCACTACTTTTCCTTGAAATCCATTTTGAATCGCTCGAACGACTCTTTTCCTGTCCTAGAAATCTTCGTATTCATTCATCAGATGAAGTAGCAAAAGAGAGAGGAATCAAATTTCTAACACCTAAATTCCAATTGGTTCTTCAAATTGCCAGGGTCGCTGATTACAAATCTGAAGTCAGAATTACTTATTTCAAAATGATATATTTTTTTCTGTACCTGCCATATTAGATCGGCCATTTTGAATTCTGCAACTCCGACTCCAGGTTCATAATCAGCGACATCGAAAACCTGAACAGCCAATGGAAATTTAAGTGTTTATTGTTAAGTAATTCTGCTCTTACTTTGGGTCTGTACCTGATGTTACACAATTTCCGAATATCGAATACAACAAATAATCAATTTTAACAAGCAATTTCTCGGAGATATGCGAACAATTCAAAATTAATTTTGAAAAGAAGGGAAAGGGTAATACGTTCAGATGCAATAATAGTCTAGTCATTATAGACATGGAACAGCCTGTTTCGGGAAAAAATACTATTAGAAGTTTTTCTGCGGAATATTGTTCGGAAATGTGTTATAAATAACATATCAAAAAATCAACTCGAGACTAGTTGGGAAACTTTATTATAACAATGGTCAACATAGCGAAAAGAGGTTTATACAAAAAAGGTAGGTATTAAATAAACCTTTAAAATGAGACAAGTTCGATTAAATTTGGATTTGTTTATGCGCAAGAGCTCAAAAATGGTCGAAAATGGCCGTTTTTTTCAATTGCTAATAATTAGTGCAATTATCGTCGTAGACACTTGTAATTCAGGATTTTTGAGGCTTTTTTCACCCTTAATATGTGATAAAAATTTCAGCCCGAAAACTTCATTGGTTTGGCGTTGGCGGAATTTGTTATCTAAGAAGATGCTATTTTCAATTCAATTTTCCCAAGCTCACAGGCGTTGTAGAGTTTCGATCATTAGTTGTTTTTGTACCTAAATAGTTGTATTGACATATGCATTTATTGAGAATTTAGTTTTTCAAATTTAATTTGTTTAAAAATGACTGAAAAAATGTTAATATTTATTAAATTGTTAAGATAGGTAATTATTATAAAATAAAATAGTAACCTCTACACTTTAGTTTTCTTCGAATTAAAAAAAAAAAATCGTTGTTGTAAGTTGATTAGAAGCTGAGATCTTTTTTTTATTATTTAATCGCAGTGACCTTAATTATTAATATTAAGAGCCGAAATTTGGAAAGAGTATATTATTGTATAGTAAATATATTGTATAGTAAATATATCTCTCTTAATGTATTGTATATTAAGAGAGATATATTTTCATGTCCTACATTAACATTAAGGTGAATTCAACTATTTAATTGCGAAAAAGAAGATAGCGGCGATACGTTCTATCACTTGGTCTAGCGAACGAGTGGGGAGAGCGAGGCGGAGCATGCGCGCTTAACAATTTAATAAATAACGAGCGTTCAAATAAAAACGTGGTCGAAGTTGGCTCTGACACATTGGACATAGGGAGTAGCTTATAGCGACCAACTTAACCTCATTTCTCAACGAGCTGTATAGCAGCTGTCAGTTTCAATAACGTTAATGACTATATAACTTTATTTTAAAGAATAATCGTGATAACAATAACAAACAATTAAAGGAGCTGCGGAAAGTGTCCCCCTCCTTGTTATAACAATAAATTAAAGCAGCTGCTGAAAGTGTCCCCCTCCTTGTTCCAAGCACTTTTCACACCTGTTCCTCAAAGAATTAAAGACATTTTCTAAGATGCTCGGGGTATTGTTAATTTCACGAATCTTGTCTATAAGTCGAGCCTGCAGATGGTTTAAATCAGGAATAGGCAGTTCAAAAATAGTGTTTTTAAGGTAAGGCCACAAAAAGAAATCACACGGCGTAATATCACATGACCTCGGTGGAAATTCATGTTCAGCATTGAGACTTATTAGTCGATTTTGGAAAACTTCCCTCAACATATTCATCGTCTCGCCTGCCGTATGTGCCCTTGCGCCATCTTGTTGAAAGTAAAAGTTTGTAATTTCGTTTTCTTCCAGCTGGTTAACAAAAGGAGCGATAATTTCTTCTCTATACCTTTGCGCAGTAAGAGTACCATTAAAAAAAATAGGTCCATAAATCCTCCTTCGATTGAGAGCACACCAAACTCCAATTTTTTGAGCGTGTAGAGGGCCCTCGACAAAAAAGTTATCTGGTTTTTCAGAAGACCACATTCTCATATTCTGTGAGTTTACGTAACCACTTAAATGAAACCAGGCTTCATCAGAAAAAAAGGTGATATTATGAAGTTCACCGTAGTTGTTTAAAAACCATTCACAAAATACAGCCCGTCGCGGAAAATCAACTTCATGAAGTTCTTGCTGACAAGTTAAACGATAGGAGAACAAACGCAAATCTTTTTTTAACACTGTGTGGCAGGTACCGACTGATACTCC